GGTTCGCACGCTGCCGGTCTCCTGCCGCGCTGGGCATCGTTCCCCACTCCCATCACGACACCGGCCCCCTCCTCTCCAGCCCGCGCCTCCACCAGCGCAATCGCATGAATCATCTCGATGCACCACTTCCAGGACATGGCACTGCACCCCGAAAACACCGCGGCCCACCGCGTCTCCACGCACCAGGCCCAGGCCCCAACCGGCCCCCTTCCCGCGGAGCTCCTCGGGGTTGGGCACTCCCCGCCCTGCAAAAAAAAAAAAAAAAGCACATTCGAGGTGCGCCGCACCTCCCGTGTGCACGGTACACACATCAGCTAGCACAGCCCTTCTCCAGCCCCAAGCACGACCTTCTATCGCTACAACACAGCCTGTCGGCACAGACACTGTGGACCTTCTCCTTCTAGCACAGCCAGTACCCATCACCGGTCGTGTCCGCGGCTGCACAGACACAATGCACCGTTAATCACCTAACATGCTTGCTGAATTAGATATTGTCAAGCAGTTGTAACGACCCCGGGATACAGTAAATGATGTGGAAATGTTAAAACACATAAGCCTCACACAGTATAGCACAACTCTTATCTCCCTGAACACACACACACCCACACACACACACACACTCACTCGGTACTTCCAATAGCCACACCTATCTATGCATAGTTGCTGCTCAGCCCAGTTCTTGACACTTTGTCAGGAACATGTGGCCCCCCAGGGAACTGAGCATCTGTATTTCATAAGGACACACAAGCCATGGGTCCAACTTACCAAAATTTATATCTTCTGAACAAACGTCTTTAAAGAAAGGCAAGGCATACCTACCACACACCATTGTGGCTTACAAGACCAACCCAAAGAAATGTGGTTTTGGAGAGAGATGGTTTTTATATATATGTGTGTGTGTGTGTGTGTGTGTGTGCGTGTGTGTGTGTGTGTGTATAAATATATAAAATTGATTTTAGAGAGCATATGGGGTTATCCAGGCTGAATGAGTATGTGTGAATGTGCTCAGCAGAGCATCTGGTGCAGGATGCACAGTTCATGTCCGTTACTTCTCTTCCAACATTTGAATCCAGCAATGGATGGTTCTCAGTCAGGGTCAGCAGAAAATGTGCAGTGGCCACGAGCTTCGGGAGGACTGGTATTTTTGTGGGCATGGGATATTTTGTAAGAATGCTCACTGCCTGGCTGGTGTGGCTCAAAAAAAGATTGAGTCTTAGCCAGTTTGGCTCAGCGCATAGAGCATGGGCCTGTGGAATGAAGGGTCCCGGGTTCAGTTCTGGTCAAGGGCACATGCCCAGGTTGCTGGCTTCATCCCCAGTTGGGGGTATGCAGGAGGCAGCCTATCAATGATTCTCTCTCATCATTGATGTTTCTGTCTCTCTCTCTCCCCCTCTCCCTTCCTCTCTGAAATCAATACAAATATATTTTTAAGAAAGATGGAAAGTTGTGACTTCTTAAATGAAAATTGTTTATTCTGTTCTCTTTTGTGATAATTATCTGATACCATATTCTTTTTGTACCAGATTTTAGTTGGATGACTGTTCACTGCAATTCTGTAAAACTTTAAAAATGTCTTCAAGTTTATTTTTCAAAGACTAGTAGTGTAAGAGAATAGGAGAGAGAATACGTCCGGGCTGTCATATTATCAGAGAACATTTTCGGTGTGTCATATTACCAGTGTGAACCACAGTACCTGGGCATGTCACATGCTCCAGAGGCACCGCAAGAATTTGGGATTGGGACGGATTAGACACGTCATGCAGAAGTCTGAGACAAGTTTGGATTTGTCAAGTACTTTTGTTAAATAGCAACTAGGCCAACTCACTTTTAAATCAGCATTTAAATGTCCTGTCCCTATCGCTGTCATTAAAAATAAAGCCAGATGCTATTGAATCATTCTCCCCAAGGTTTACAAAAGCGCATTCTGCTACCTTTTAGAGTATTTCTATAAATTAAATGCTTGAGCATGTGTCAAAAAGTTTGTTCTGCCAAAGTGGGGCAAGGAGAACCTTTGTCTCAAGCTCAGAGTATAGTAATTACTCTGCTTACAGAGGCTGGTAACCTTGAAAATGTTGAATAGCCTTGGTTTCAAAAACTCCAACTTTAGATTTGAAAGCACAGAATTGACTAACCCCCATTCACAGCAGCCCACTTCTTCTCAAGAGGCACCTGGCAGTAGAACAGTGGAGTCAGCCCTGGTCCAACAGGCGCTGTCACTCACCCGGGAGAGGTTGCCTCCCTGCAGCTTGCTGTGTCCAAGGGATTTGAACTTGTCCAAGCTAGGTTTCTCCTTGACATGGGACTAAGGAGATGGACAGGGTTAAAGCTGGCTAAGATAAGCATTTAGTTTTATGTCTCATTGCCCCTTTTGTTTGTGATTCTCTCAAGAATAAGGACAGTGTCTGTTCATTTTTGTCTTCTTAACCCCCAGAATAATACCTAGCCCACAGCTAGGCATTAGCCACGTGAGGGAGGAAGCAGACATAGATGAAGAGCCTTCAGACATTGTGAACTAACAGCTGGCACTTCCTCTGTGCTGGGTTCTAAATACTGTACATGTGGTCAGTTATTTTATCCTTACAACAACCCTGTGAGGTGGGACTATTATTATCCTTGATATACAGGGGAGAACACCAGGGCACAGAGAGGTTGGGTAATCTGCCCAAGGTCACACAGGCTGGTGAATGTTGAAGCCAGAATTCTGGCCCAGGCATTCTGGCCACAAGCCTCCTACAGGGGAGAATACTTGAACTTTGGAGCCAGGTCCCATCCATAAAATGCAGATTGTTATTATTCCCCCTTTTCGGCTGATAGGAAGATTAAGAGAGCTGTCATGCACAGCTAGCATTCTGAGTGTGGCAGAGATATGGCGGTTGTTCAGAGCTAACTAGTTCCTATCCCCTAAGTGGGTTTTCTGGAGTTACCGATGTGGTCTTGTGGCCTTTGCAGCTAAGTTGCTTTTCATAATTAACTATAGAAAATTTTGGTTCATACCCCATTTTGCAAATGAGTTTCACAGTTGGAGATAATGTTTATAAATTGCTGTTCAGTGCCTGCCACACAGGAGATGCTTGATAAAGAAGAGCTATTATTACTGTTTGCATCATTACCAGTATCAGTAGTGTGATGCTGGTCTGAAGGAGGACGCTGTCTCCCCACTCCCTGTGTGTAGCCATTCTTCAGTACAAGCTGATGTACCTGGGAATTGGATTTGGCTTCCCTCCTTAAGCCAGAGGGCCTCACAAGCAACCTCGTCATCTTCTGGCTGGCATTCTCATCGGGCTGGCATTCTGAGGCCCGCGCTCATAACTTCCGAACAGATGTTAAGTCCTTAGAGTGCCCATTAATGTAGGACTGCGTTTCTCTGCAGGAGGAGTCTGTCTGATTCGCCAGTTTGGTCTTGTAATCAGGTCTATATGAACTTAACAGTCAGGCCTTGTTTGTCCAGCATCAGTGTTAGTGCTGTTTGGCCATATGAAGGTCTAAGAGACATTATTACCTGTTTGACCTCTTTATTTTAGTGCCTTATGTTCAGGCCTGTTGTAAGTCTGGAAATTATTAAATAGAGTACAGAAACTTACTATAAACAGAAGTTGATATTTGCATTAACTTCTGTTTATAAAACAACATCCCAGGACCTGTCTTTAATTAGGTAATTAGGTACTATTGTTTCATTCCATACCTCTTCGTGTATTCTGATGTTCTAAATTTTTTATGCTAATTTTGTTTTCTCCTAATATATTTTTGACATTTTTTTCCTTTAGTGATGTTTAATCTTAATTTAATATATGTCTTTTGAAAGTTTTTTCCCTGCAGTCCTTCCCCATATACTAGTAAACTCAACTTTTTGTAAACTCAACTTTTTATAATCATTTTCAAATTTATTGCTATATCTCATTATCTC